TTGATGACTGTGGTATCATTTTTTCAATAGTTGTATGGCAGAATCTGAATGGATCATTCTAACCCTAAAAAGATTACAAGAAACATAAAACAAAGTATGTATAAAAGAAGAGTAAAAAAGAGAGAAGTCTTCATTAAAGCATAAAAAAAAACACTATAGCTTTTTATATACCTTTTTGGCATCTAAGCTATAGCTACATACATAAATAATAATTGGTCTTTAAAATTAGAATAACGTACTGGATTATCAACTAAAATTTGTATATACATATACCCTCTAGTTCGGGAAAGTAGGAAGTATATAATTTTTATACTTTCTCTTGATACTGATAAACAGCCATTCTTACTTTCTTTTATTTTTTTCTAGAGAATGTTGGAAATTCGCAACTAAATCTTGGAAATGACGTGATTAAATATATTTATTAAGCTATTTTAATTTATTTTTAATTTCATTAGCATTAAGTGGATTTTTTATGTTTATTTTTAAGTGCACTTTTATTTTATGCCGAGTTTACCATACATTCATACATACTTACATATGTACACAGACTTGTTGCCGGGTCCGTTATCAAGGCAGTGAAACTTAAGAACTCGCAAAATAAAATTTTAAAGAGGAAATAAAAACGAAAAATAAGTATAACATTATTATTATTACTTTTTTTAATATTTGTAAAATCTGAAATACTGATTAAGAGTTTTAATTATAAATTGAGATAAATATTGGGTAGTCGAAAAAGTTTTTTCGTATTTTTAATCAAACTTCAAATTATTTTTTTCCTTTATATTTTTACTAATAAATAAATTAACACATATGTACCATTTTGGTCGATCACATTTTGCCATTTTTCCGCTAGAGACAAATTTCATTGGTGCCTTGCGTGCCATTCTTTCTTTTTTTATACAAAAATTTGAAAATATTGTGAAATCTTCCTTATTTTCATTCATTTTTGAACAGCTGTAACATATTTTAATTTTTCCCCAAATTTTTTTTGGTTAAATGAAGCTTCAAATCTCACTTTTCCAACATTATATGGTAAGACATAATGTGGTTGGTAGCATTGAAGACATACGACTGCAACGACACCTATTGACAAAATACGAAAAGACTTTTTCGACGATCATATATACCATCTAATCATATTTGACTCGGATTGGTACATTTAAACTACTACACTTAATTTAAATAACTATCTAAAACACATTAGTCGAAATATTACTTTCAATGTTGGTATTACTGTCAGTGACATCTGTGCCAAATGTCAAATCAAAATAATTATTAGTGTTTAGTAAACGCTTGTCTTTCTGAAGTACATAAAATGCATACGGCGATTTTTACGATGACTGAAGTTATTGAACAAAGAAGTTCCATTAAATTTTATAAGCAGAATCACATTTCTAGTTAACACTTTGTCGCGAGACGCGCTAACGACGAACCACTTCCAGGACGGCCATCAACATCAACTGATGATCAACACGTCAAAAAAGTAAAGGAATTGCTAGTTGAGAATTAACAATCAGAGATCTTACTGGAAGCATTTGAATATCGGAAAGTGAAAATTATTTTCTAAGATCATTTGGGAATAAGAAAACTGAAAGCACGATTGGTCCCAAAACCTCTCAGTTTTTCCGAAAAACAGGTTCGCGTTAACGTCATTAGTGCGTGACAAACGCCCTTACACGCTTGCTTTGGCTCAGAAGCCTATTTTGTAGGCGATGTTAGTCCGGATCAAATTTGATCAAGTGATAAATCTTTCAAAAACCTTGAGAACTCTAATTTAGTTTGATTGCATAGGTATTAAGTTCATGTCTGTAATAATAACGGATAAAATGGTTGGTAGTTCCCGACTATAGTATAGCACACTTTTTAGCAACATATTTCCATTCAAGAGTGATACACTGATTATAGCGGTACTTCAATTTTTCGATACCATTTTTGTAGTACGATGCGTTTTTGCTTCATTTTCGGCCGTCAACTTTTCATACGACGAAAATTTTTTCCCAAAGAACATTCTTTTGAGAGCTGAGAACAGGAAATAGACGCTGGGGGCCACATCTGGAGAATGCGGAAGCAATTCGAAGCACAATTCATGGATTTGTGCCATCGTTTCCACTGACTTGTAGGACGGTGCATTATTTTGTCAAAACATCACTTTCTTTTTTTTTTTTAAATGCGGCCATTTTTCTGCGATTTTGTCCTTCGAATGATTCAATAACGCTATGTGATAGCCCTGATGGTACTTACTTTTTCAAGACAGTCAATCAAATTTAATCCATCCAAATGCTGTAACCTTGCTAGCCGACTCCTGCATTTTCCACGCTTTGGATCGGTTTCATCGTATATAGTCCACTCAGGTGACTGTTGATTGGACTTTAGAGTCATGTTTCATCTAATATCACATATCGATGCAAATACCCGAGTTTATTACACTTAAACATCGCCAAACACTGCTCTGAATCATCACCTCGTCAATGTGCACAGAGCATTCTCATACATAATTATTCGTGAATAATATGATGTATACATTAAGTTGATATCTCTCGAATACCTCGCTTTCTCGAACTTTACTTTACGGTCATCCAAAATTTAGTTTGTTCATTTTTTTGGTGTTTCCGGCGGTAACAACACCTTTTTGTCTGTTCACTGCGTTCACCGTCTTCGGTGCTCATTTCACCACGTCTAAACTTAGCAAACATTCTTAATGGTTGATTTCCTCAGGGCATTGTCCGGAAACTCGTTATCAAGCGAAATTTTTTCTATGTTTTCTTATCAAGAAGCAACCTTTTATCAACACGAGAAATTTCTTGTAATCTATTTTTTTCATAATAACAAAAGTTGGTTTACGCGAAATGATATGATTCACATACAAAAGATCCGACAGCTGAATTCTAAGTCTTTATTTTACAGCTAATAAATTTTAAGTAATTTGTAGAAAATTTTTATGCATATGAGACTTTCTATTTCAGTTATTTGAAAGTTTCAGCTTCTAAAAGCTCTGGCGCAATTATTTACAAGGTCAGTTGGTTTTCATTGACTACAGTAAAGTGTAGCATGGTTTTAGGCTGCACAAATTACTTGATTGATAATATTGAAAGCTTTGCGGTTTTAAAATTAAATTTTTAATGTAAGGTGTATTTTTTATTATTGGCGTAGCATGGTTTCTGAATTATTATATTTTTCTTCTTACCGCGATTAGGGAGGGTAGTGTTGGAATATGCATGACCGGCATAAAAAGCGTTTAAAGAATTGTTTTTGGAAGAAATTGTATTTTTAGAAAATGCAATTACGTAACATTTTTAAAAGAGGCACCTATGGATAAAAATATCAAAAATAATTTTGGATGAAATCAAAATGATTTTGATAGTGCTAGATGACACTTTTTGGAGTGTTGTTTGTCAATATTACATTTTCGGCTTACACCACTCACAGAAACACGTTGCGCGAAAATTCGTCCTGACTCGTCAGGTGCTCGGAGAAAATTGATCAGCCGCTCGTTCGTTAGCTAGGAACGAATCACTTCCGAATCTAGTCGGTGCGCGCACGCGCCTAAGTACAGTCAAGGCAGAAGATAATCAGTTCTATTACTTTCCGGACAAACCCTGTAGGTCTTCATCGAAGTTCTTCAACGTTTCCAGTGCAGTAGTTGGTAACTTGTTGTCTTTTGACTTTGCTTCTGCCCGCAATGGCACTACCATTGATCAAGTTCACCTTTGAGCTTCAAACGTCGCACGAAGTTGTCATTATGCGAAAGGCCTTTGAATCTATCTATCAATAATATTTTGCACTTATTTGACTTTTAAACGACATACTTTTTCTGGAAGCAGCAAATGAATCACTTTTTAATAATATTTTGGTTCGTAGATTTGTGATCATTTTAAGCAGTAACATTTTCTTCTCCGCCAGATACCTTTTTTCGAAGGTCCTGCTGGAAATCGGCTATGCTATTAAGGGAATTTAAAATATGCATCACCATTCATTAAAGTACTTTAAATTCAATATTTTTTTTTAAAAAACAATGCCTTTTCAAAAAAAAAAGTTAAAAAAAAACGTTTTGCCTTCTTGTATATGGATATAGCAGCTTAAGAGGTTAGGCCAATCTGAGATTCTCAAAAGATCGGAAAATATATTTTGGATTAAATTACACTTTAGCGTTATAAAAACATTATTCCTTTGTTTGGTTCAATTTGGTTAGCTTTTTGGTAAAATTTAGGATTGTTTTTACAAGTCCGACATTTTGTGAAAAATTAAAAGAATGCTCCAATAAAAACATGGTACACATGTCCTTTACTAGCAAGGACGTCTATAGAGATCCTCTTGTAAAAGGTGACTTCGAAGATGGCCTCAGTAGCCACCATTTTTTTATCAATCCGTCAATATATGTACATAAGTATGTAAACTAGTATACTTCAAAATGCATGTTGAAAAATAGTCTCAAAGGCAGAAATCGATTTTCTTTTTCTTCGCTACTGAAATAATTTTTTAAGAAAATTCTAAATATTGATATGTAAATCGTATACAAGGTGCATTCCAAAGTAAACAGGACTTACAAAAAAAAAAAAAAAAAAAAAAAAAAAAAAAAAAAAAAAAAAAAAAAAAAAAAAAAAAAAAACACAGAACAAATGGTTTTTATCAATGAAATGTCATCAAATTCTCACTGCATAATCGATAAAGATAGCAAATTCTAACACATCAGTCGACATATAGAGCCACCAGGGGCGCTAGATTCAAAAAGTCCTGTTTACTTTGGAACACACCTTGCACATATAAACACATATGTATGTATATATTTAAAGCATGTATTATTTAGATAAATTATTGCAACCTACATACATACATATAGTTGCACATACACAATGTTATTAATCCATCCATACAGTTATAATAATACATGCATATACCGCGATATGTGTACATACATATGTATGTATACATGTGCGAATTTTGATAGGGCCTGAGTGCTCCATTTCAAAGTAATATTCGAACAGTTACGATTCATTGAACAGACGGTGTAGTTCATAACGTAAATAACGGGAAATAAATTAAGTGTTTTACGGACCTAATAAGACATATCCACACATACATTTGCCGAACAATAATTATCCGTGCGGTGAAAATATATGTAAATACTTGTGAAGAGAATTATTTGTACTGCAAGAAATTAGTTGCTAATATTATTGTAAGTGAGGCTGCGACTCAAATACCGGCGGCGCGGATGAATATCCAGATTCTTGCAAATAGAGCGTGAATAAATATTGATTGAATGTGAGTGCTGAAAACTGTTATTTTGAAATTGAGAAATTTAATATGTTTCGATGCAAAAATATTGGAAAAATAAATTAATAAAATAAAATTAAAACAAGAAAAAACGTTAGCTTTTGTTGCACCGAATCTAATATAGCCTTTACTGGTGTATTTCTTTTAGTAACTATGTGTCCAGTTTATATGGAAGCCATATGCTATAGTAATCCGATCTGAACATTTATTTTTCGGAGATTATGTTATTGCCTTAAGCAGTAATCCATGTCAAATTTCGTGAAGATAACACGTCAAATGCGAAAGTTTTCCATACAAGCCCTTGATTCCGATCGTTCGATTTGTATGACAGCTATATGCTATAGTTAACCGATCTGAACAATATCTTCGGAGATTACTTAGAGAATAATATATACCAAATTTTGTGAATATATCTTGTCAAATGGGAAAGTTTTCCATACAAGCTCTTGGTTCCAATCGTTCGGTTTGTATGGCAGCTTTATGTTATAGTAATCCGATGTGGACAGTTCCGACAAATGAGCAGCTTCCTGAAGAGAAAATGACAATGACAAAATTTCAAAACGATATCTTAAAAACTGAGGGACTAGTTCGTCTATATGTCTATATACAGACAGACGGACGGACAGACACAGCTCAACATACTGATCATACTATATACTTTATAGGGTCTCCGACGCTTCCTTCTGTGTGTTACAAACTTCGTGACAAACTTAATACACCCTGTTCAGGGTATAAAAAAAAAATTAAATAGATAAATTCAAGAAAATTTAATTAAACTTTCATTAAATATGGCGGAATTATAGTAGAAAATTTTTTGAAGAATTGAAACAAAAAATACAACTTAATTTTATTTTGAATGTTTTTTTATTAAATTTTTTTAACCTTTAAAAAGTGTTAGTCATTATCTATTATTGTCATATTCTATTAACGATAAAATTGATTTGTGATAGCTGAAGTGTGATAATTGCATCGCTGATTATAAATACTGCTATGAAATTTAAAAACATACTTATGTATGTACATACTTTTAAGTGATTAATATCAACTGATATAATAAGATAATATTTATTTCAGTTTATGAACTTATCTGTACTGTGTGTTTAAAAAGGCTGGCAACCTCTGTCAAAATAATTCCAACAGTTAACTGCTTTTAAATTCATATGTGCAACCTAAAGCTGGTATTGAACCATATAGTATATATGTATGGAACATAAATTAAATTCAATTACATTTTTGTTTAATTAAGTGGCAACCTTTTTCAAAATTTATTTCAACAATAAAATTTTTTAAACTATTTCAGTTTGTTACTCTATAGTGCTAAGTGGTTTTTCAATCTATTTCAATTAAGTATAATTTACAAACAGGTGGCAACCTTTTCCAAAAATTTTTAATTAAAAATTCACTGAAACTTTTTGTTATAAATATTAATTTTTGTTTTATTAAACATTTTCAAATATGTGGCAAGCTTTACATTTTTTAAGCCTCCGATTATTGTTCCGAACAGTTAAGAAAAATACTAAAAATACTAAAATCAGATAAAGTATCTATTAAATTTTGAATTAAATATTAAAATATTTGACATGATTTTAAGCGAATATTCTAAAAATAATTCAACGATTGCGCCCTCAGTAAGATTAAGTTCTGTAGAGTGTGATTTAACTGCCTGCTTTAAGGCGCACACTTCGTGTGAAATTTGAAACAAAAAATAGTCTCTCTTCATAGTTTGATAGGTTATAACTTTACAAATAAAATACTAAAATATTAAATCGATATATGAAATAGTTTTGGGTTGCAAGCTTAGTTCAATTATGTAGTTCCRTCAGTTTTCTTGAAGTACTTTTGTTCAAAAAATTTCGCATTTGCTTGAGTGAAATGTTTCAAAAGTTGGGTAAAATTAGATTTTTTAAAACGCCGTCATTTTTGGATGTAGCTTGGGTCATAGTTTCTTGTACGGATAGTCTCGTGTAGTAGAGAATTTTTTTTAAGGTTTTATCCACGCCTAAAGCCGGAATCACTGCAGCAGTGAAGCGCCTTTATTAAAGTGTCATTAATAACTCGACAAATATTTATCTATTTTTTTCTAAAAAAAATTATTTTTTTCTAAAAAAAAATTAATGTTTTCTAAAATATGTATAAATACTACTCTGAGCAAAAATAGTAAGACTTTGTTTATAATTTTTATTAAATTCTTAATTTATTCTTCAAAATCTAATTAGACATTAACACCACGATGTGAAATTCGAAAATTTAGTGATTTTAGAACCAATCATGCTTTTTTGGAACCCAAATGATCTTCAAATAAATCATGGGATGCCATTTTGTAGAACATTCAATTTGCTACAAAATCTATGGAATGAGATCTGAATTTTTCTATCTGATAATAAGAAAAAACTAGAAATCTTTAGGCGGAAGAACTTTCTATTATAATTAAGGGCTAATATTGGGTTGTCGGAAAAGTCTTTTCGCATTTTGTCAATAGATGCCGTTATAGTCGTATATCTGAAGTCTTACCAATCACATTGTATCATACCATATAGTGTTGAAAAAATGAGATTTTAAGCCCATTTAACCAAATAATTCAAATTTGGGGAAGTTGAAAAAAGTTACAGTGGTTCAAAAATGAATGAAAATCTAAAATATTTTAAAATTTTTGTATAAAAAAGGGAAGAATCCCACATTCTGAAAATTTCGTACTGGTCAACCTATCGTATGTCGAGTAAATTATAAAAATCTTTAACTGATGAAATAATGTCTCTAGCGGAAAAAAGTGGTCGACCAAAATGGTACAAGTTATTGTTTATTTATTTATTAGTATAGATATAAAAAAAAAATTGGAGTTTGATTAGAAATATGAAAAGACTTTTTTGACTAACCAATATTTGTTCACTTTCTTAGAGGTGTCTAAGAACTTATTTTTCAAAGTACCAAGCGAAAAACAAAAATTCGTTTTTTTTATTTAAGGGGTAGTAGGAGTAGGTCTGTCCTGTTTTTTGACATTGTTTTTATAGAAATTTTTATTCTACAATAGAACTTTTTTTCTCATCTACATATGTATGTGATATATCATATGTGGTATATCGTGTAGTGTATAAACAAATTTTTTCGGAATTTTTTGTTGAGATCTGTCGGAGAAATGGCAATTTATTCTTAAAAAGTACGTGAATGGTTATCGTCCCTACTAGAATCATGAAGAAATGTTGATAAATAAAAAAGTAATTTACTTTTTTTGTTTAATTTTCCCCATTTTTTTACATAAATTTTGTCATAACATTGTTAATATTGTAAATTATAAAAAATATAGAGACGATAGTTAGGCATTTTGTGAACATTAAAAAAAAAAATTAAGCAAATCGGGTGAGTAGTTCGACCGGAATCATTTCCGTCAGTTTAAAAAATTGTGTTTCGAGAAAAACGCGTTTAAAGTGTGCACTCCGGGCGCTAAGAACGTCGAGCGGTATTATTATTTTTGGGCCTTTTTCAAAATCTTCCAATGGTAAAGTTGGTTTCTACATTAATTCTAGGGAACAGAAAATGCAAAAACAAAACAAAATTAAAAAAGATTATCCTACTGACTGCTGAAATCAGAAATAAATAAATATAAAATGAGCAGAGGAAATTGATACAATTAAAATTTTAAAGAAAAAACAGGAAAAATTTAAAAAACACATACGCTGGATCATATTTATTTCTTCCTCATAATTTTAAATGTACAATTTCGTCCAGAAAACTTGCAACACCGTCTGAAAATAGTAGTAAACTTCACGCGTTCTCAAGATCTGGTGAATTTTCGAAGAAGATTTATGTGTCAAAAATACAGCTCATGAGACAAGAAATTACATTTGGCAGCAACAACAAAAAAAAACACAAATAATTTTTATATTGAGAGCACTTAAGGGTTAAAGAAATGGCGCCAGCCTAAATTTGTTTGCTTCTTAAATTGTAAGGGCGATCAAAATAGAATAAATAATTGACTTGAATTAAATATTTTTAATGCAACAAACACAGATAATAATCCCCAAGTTCTATAAAAATGTATAATGGGTTATCTGCGATAGTTCTTCTCGGCATTTTATTACTCATAATACAGCGTGCACAACAACACTACTCTTATCATTTGTTTATAGTAAAATTTGAGTCACTGCCGTCGTGCTATTCGTCTCGAAAGCTAAGTTTGTTTAATTGAATACTAACACGAGTAGTAATTATGACGAGAGTAAAACTGTGAGTTTTTTAATTACTTTTGTTCATAAGTCTAAAAAATATGAATGAAAACTGTAACGCAAATTCCAGCCTGAAATTTTTCTCTGTATACTATTCTTACGCACACAACTGTTTACATTTAAAAGTTTTCAGCAAGAGACATTATTGTCTTAAAATCTGCTGCCATAAACATTTTGCTGAAAGAAATCCGTGTCGTATAGAACAGAAGCACACATACCCAAGTGCATAAATCCCCCTTACAGCCAAATAGTTGTCACACACATATTCAACATATGTATATTAGGGTGGTTGCAATGGAAGTCAAATAATGTTTTTATTACAGACATTTTCAGTGTAAATCGAAATTCCGAAATTTTCAGAAAGGAAGTGAGCGAACCTTTATTGTGCTACAGGAACTAATACAACATCGTCTCCGTAAACTCAACAAATTTCATTTGCGGCTTGCGTGGCATTCTTCCCCTTTTATTACAAAAATTTCAAAATATAGCGAATTTTTTCATTATTTTCACTAATTTTTGGGCAGCTGTAACTTTTTTTCCACTTCCTCGAATTTATTTTTATTTTGGTTGAATGAAGCTTAAAATCTCACTTTTCCAACAATACTTATGTACATATGTATGTATATACGGTAAGACACAATTTGTTCGTAGCACTGGAAATATTCGACTGCAACGACATCTATTGACATTTCAAATGCTTTTAGTTCGCTTTTCACCGCCAATATCGATCATTGTCTGAGATATATTATTGAAATTCTAGGGTAATCC